GATTATAGATGCTCCCAACATCCAGCTTTTTACATGGGTTCTAGGGATCAAACTCAGGCTGGCCTCAAGCATTTGGCAATCCTCCTGCCTCTGCCTCTTGAGTGCTGGAATTACAAGCATGTGCATGTAAATATATATTATATATTTATATATTATTATACATTAGTATATTATCTGTATTATTATTATTTTTTTTTTGAGACAGGGTCTCACTATGTAGTCCCAGCTGGTCTGGAACTCATTATATAGACCAGGCTGGCCTCAAACTCATAGAGATCCCCTGTCTCCCGAGTGCTGGGATTGAAAGTGTGTGCCACCACCCCAGTTGTGCTATAGTGTTTGCCACCGCAGCTGTACCATCTTACAGTCTCACCAAGGGTGACAGGTCCTGTTTTATTTATGTGGGGGATAGCAAGCACCCCCCCACAACTGGGCTCTTCAGTTGCTGTCACCAAACAAATGTACATTTTTCTTATCTGCATAGACAGGCCTCACTATGTCTTCATCCTGTGCTCTGTGGGTAAAATGTCCTGTCTTATCTACCTCCCGCAACTCACCCTCATCTTGATATTGTTTGTCATTCATCATGAAAGCAAACACAGGAGTACAAGCCACTGTGACCAGGAGCCTTTGTATAAAAGTCTGGATAAATTCCTTGGAGGGTGATTCCTAGCTCATTTGACATTTTAATAGCTATGGCCAGATTGGAAAAAAAAAAAAAAAGCCTAGTATTGTGGTACATTACTATGATCCGGCATTGGGGAGATGGATGGAGGAGGCTCTGAAGTTTGAGGCTAGCCTGGGCTCTCTATATATTAAGATTCTATTTCAAAACCAACAAGGTGGGGCTAGAGAGCTGGCTAGCAGTGAAGAGCACTGGCTGCTCTTGCAGAGGACCTGGGTTCTCAGCACCTACATGGTGGCTAACAGTCTTTATCTCCTGTTCCAGGGGATCCCATGCCCTCTTCTGGCCTCTGTGGGCACTGCACACACATGGTAAGCTTACATACATGCAGGTAAAACACTCATACACATAAAATAAAAATAAACAAGGCTAGGGATGTTCAGTTGGTAGGGTGCTCACAACTAGAATGCATGCAGCCCTGGGTTCCATCTCCAGCATCACTTAAACCAGGCATGGTGGTGCACATTAGTAATCTCTGTATTCAGAAGGTGGATGTAGAAAGATCAAAGATCAAGGTGGTTCAAGGTCATTTTTGGCTTCATAGTGAATTCATGGCTAGACTGGGCTACGTAAGACTCAGTCAAAAACAATCAACCAAGCAAAGAAATAAACACAGCCAAGTGACCAGTTACCTCCCCAGGTAAACTTCCCTGTGATATTCTCAAAGCTGGTGGCATTGTGTTGGACACATTGAGAAACTGAGTTAGCACTTTCATTTCTTTTTTTTTTTTTTTTTTTGCCTTTTTTA